TTATGTAGTTAACTCTAAGCATAGCGTGGGTTAAAAGATATTTTCAGCTGTCCCTTAAAACTCCTTTTTCCTTGGTCTATATGCAGTATCCAAAGTAAAAGGGAAAACCTTAATACCTAGAAGTACTGTATTCATTTTTTGGTATAATATTGATAAATTCTTTTTTTTCTTTTTTAATGTTGATGAATTCTAATGCATCCAGAGAATGATTACTAGAATAGAAAAAGACACTTGAAATCACATTATAAGAGGAATGACAAGAATGGGGGTGGGGCAAGGGGGATATTTAGCCTCTAGGGTATATTTAGGTGTGGTTTGAGAAATCATTACAAATAATTGGAGGTTTGTCATGTAGAAGAGGGAAATGTAGATAAGGGTAAGGGTGCCATTTAATATTTCCTTTTTTTTTTTTTATGTTTTTATTACTTATTTTTGAGACAGACACAGAGCATGAGCAGGGGAGGGGCAGAGAGAGGGAGACACAGAATCTGGGGCAGGCTCCAGGCTCTGAGCTGTCAGCACAGAGCCCGACGCGGGGCTCGAACTCACGGAGTGTGAGATCATGACCTGAGGATGCTCAACCGGCTGAGCCACCCAGGTGCCCCAATATTTCTTGAACCCTTAATAACTCCATCTTGCACTGTACTAGACACTTTATTTAGTGTAATCTTACATGATAAGGATTTTTTTTTTTTTTAATAGTGAAACTGAGGCTCAAAAAGGCAATTAGCTCAAGATCACTGGAGCCAGTGAATGTCCAAGGATTCAAACACTGGTCTGACTTCAAAGACCATTTTGGATACAAAGCTACAAGGAGACAGATTTGGATACATACGAAAAATTTTCTAAAAATATAATGGATTGTCTCATGAGTAGTATGTTTCCTGTCACTGGAAGTGTTTAAGGAGAAGCTGGATAAGCACTTGGCAGTAGTTCTGTGTCTGGTGTTGGGGGATGAATGATTGAACTTGAGTTTGGTCTTTTTTATAATTCTGAGAGGGCAGAAGAAGGTTGTTCAGTTGCTGTTGAGCAAGTATTATGCTGTTAAGCATGTGTTGGGCATGGAGATGTTGGGAAAACAAAAAAGCCTAATAAGGACATTGTGCCTGGCCTTTGCCAGTTTACATTTATTTTACTATGTGAAGAGGCGTTAACGGGCCCTTCTCATTCCTCTCAGAAACTTCACTTATACCCTCCTGAGCTTCCCTTCTTTTCAGTAGCGCTCAGTCTTCAATCTGCAATAGTCAAAATTAGCACTGAAAATTGGTATTATTGGAGTTTGTCCTTGAGATAACTTTTAAGGGGCTGAGAGTTTGGAATGGTATGACTAGACTGGTCGGTAGTCTGCCCAAGGGACCAAATAATGCCTCCATTATAGTTGACAAAGTTTGCCTAAAGAAGGACTAAGGTAACTTAAAAAAAAAAAAAAAAAAGTGTATATAAATTGCAGGCATGTCTTCGTTTGCTGGGTGCTTATTTGGAATACTGTTTTTAGTCTGACAAGTAATGGACATAAATAGATGAAGAGGGAACCTAGAAATGGAAGGACTTTGGGCTTCTGTATGAGAAAGGATTAAAAAAAAACTTTGTTGAACTGGAGAAGACATGATCAAAGTGTTAATATATGACAATGGGGCAAATAATACTCATTTATTCACCAATTTCAGACTCAGATACGTAGTATGATGCTTAAAAGAGGTAACTTTAGGGTAGGTAAAAGAAGCTGTACAGATTGCAGATTTCTTACCACCAGTATAAAGCATAAGTAGAGATAAGAAAATACTGATTTAAGAAAAGTTTTAGTATTGGGGGAAAAGGGGGGTTGTGAAAATATTGTTTGAAAAGATACCATTAATATATCCGTTTTATATTTGGAAACAACCCTAGGGTTTTTTTCTTTTTTTGTGGTCCCTCAGATGTGACTCCTTCAGGTTTTGTTTTTTTTTTTTTTCTTTAAACTACAGAAAAGATGGGAAAATTTTAAGTTCAAGAAAAGGGGACATAATGTAAAGATTAGAGAAATCTCTATGAATGGCAGATTAATTGAGTGGAAATAGGGAAATACAGTGGATACAGGGTATGTTTTCTGCCTTGAGGTTGAGATAATCATATCTTCCCCTAAGTACCATATTGTTTGCATTTAATAAGTTCCTACTTCTGAAGAATGACTTAAGTCTGGAGCTATTCCATTTAGGAAATGTAATTAAATAATAATATATTAAAATCAGATATTTTTGAGGGATTTTAAAATTGGTCCTGAGATCCATTTCTTTGTGAGAAGACCAATTTGAAAAATAGTCATATTTTTTTAGCATTATATTCAAGACAGTGGCTATCCATGATGGGAAGGGAGGTAGGAGATGTATTCAACTGTTGGGTAGTGTTTTATTTATTAAAGTGGTTGGTGAGTTAATGACTATTTATATTGTTCCTCATACCTTATTATAGGCCTTAAATACATAATAAAATAATTTCCCAACTTTTTATTCTGTGAAATATTCAATTACATATGCCTTTCACCTAGATTCAGCAGTTTTTAACATTTTGCCATTTGGGATTTTACCTCCATATGTGTATATCTATATTTATATACATTTTTTCACCTAAACTGTGAAAGTTGGAGACATGATGACAGTCCATCTTTAAATGATCCCAGCTTTCCTAAGAATAAGGATATTCTTATCACATAAACATTACTATTATAATGTTACCTAAGACAATAAATAGTTCTATTACATAATATAAAATCCTATCTCTATTTAAATTTCTCCATTTGTCTCTAAAACATATTTCATAGTAGTTTTTATCCATTATAAAATGAAGACTCAAATAATGCCTTTGTTGTCTCTCTCTTTTTTTAAAATGTTTATTTTTGAGAGAGCACGAGCAGGAGAGGTACGGAGAGAGGCGGGGATAGAGGATCTGAAGCCAGCTCATTGCTGACAGCAAAGAGCCCCATGCAGGGCTTGAACTCACTAAGGGTGAGATTATGACCTGAGTTGAAGTCCTTCGCTCAACCGACTGAGCCACCTAGTCACCCCTGTTGTCTCTTTTTAGTCCTAACCTGAAATCCTCCTTCCACTATTTTTTTATAGTAGCGTTTGAATTGTCTTGGCCAGTGAAGTTTTCTTTTGCACGTTTACCTTTGCCAGCAGATTTCTAGGGATCAACTGAGAGGACTGTCTTATTTCTTGACTTCTGTTGTTTGATTATTTTTAGAGTAAAATTTGTTATTTATACTTTAAATATATTTAAATATATGCTCTACATTAGGTTTTAGCTATGATTTAGAACTCTTGTATAGTTGTCCATTTATGCTTAGTAGTTTAATAATGACAGTGCACATTTGGTTGTTGAGTTTCATTTAGGGAAAGAGTCTCATTTGTTAAGGTTGTAATAGTGTTGGGTTACATAGTGTACAATCAGAATGATTTATTTCAAACTTAGTGGCATGTAATGAATATCTGCTTGACTCAGCATAAGCAATTCAAATGAAATTCCAAGTATTGGATTAATATTTGCAGAGGACTAAATTTATTTGTTGAATTTGACAATAGTATAAGAGAGTAGTCCCATGGTTACTTTATATATTTCAATCAACTCTTTAAACTGTGACATAACGTTTTTATTGGCAGTGCACAGGACTGTTATATTTTTCTAACAGTCTTTATAATATTATAAAGAGAAATTGGTGAGTCTTTTAATATAGCCATAAAGACATTTAATTTTCTTAAAATAATTCTTAAGTTTTAATGATAAAACATTTATGCTTTTAGATTAGTCTGTTTGTAGGAGAAAAAACTTTTCATTTAATAGATTTTGAGTGTGTGTGTGTGTGTGTGTGTGTGTGTGTGTGGATCGTATATGGAAGTCATTTCTGAAGTGATGCAAGAGAGGTGCCCAGTGGCTTGTTGTAAAATACAGATTTTTGTCTTAATAAAACTTCAGGGGAGCCTGCGTGTCTTAGTTGGTTAAGTATCCAACTCTTGATCTCAGCAGGTCTTGATCTTACGGTCATGAGTTTGGGCCCCGAATTGGGCTCCACACTGGGCATGGAGCCTACTTAAAAAAAAAAAAAAAAAAAAAAAAGAACTTGGAAAAAAAAAATAGAACTTGAATAAGTAAATGATAGAGCCATTTTCACAGTCAAAATAATTCTCATACATAGTCCATATACGTGTATTTTAAAACTACCTCCTGGGTGTACTCAAAAGATACAGAGTATTCCGGAGAAGCCCAGGAAGGCTTGCATTTTTGAGCACTACTTGTTCATCAACAAAGATGGTACCTTGTATAAATTTAAGCTGTCAAGTGTGCTGCTTAAGTAAGCACAGTAGCTTTAAGTTAGTGTGGAACGAGATAACCAATTAAACAAGGACAAAAGATGATATAAAGTTTATAATCTTTGTATTAAAGAAACATTTTAAATTGGGATTTTTTTTTGTTCATTTGGACTACTTGAGATTTTGATATTTTGTAATGAAATTATCAGTATACAATATAATTCCAGTCATAGCATACTCTGCATCTGTTGAAATTTTTTCTGAGATTTTATTGCAGTTGAAATAAGTTATTAATTTATGTTGTACTTCTTTTTATTTATTTTGAGAGAGAGTGTGCGTGCAAAATGGGGGAGGTGCGGAGAGAGAGGGACAGAGAGAATCCCAAGCAGGCTGTGCACCTTCAGCACAGAGCCTGACGCGGGGCTCAAACCCCACACTGTGAGATCATAAGCTGAGCTGAAACCAAGAGCTAGCCCTGAGCTATCTAGGCACCCCTATGTTGTACTTCTTATTAAGAGAAAATACCCTCTTCTAAGAAATCTAAATTTTCCTGCCTAACAATTGGTGATTTTTTTCTCAGGTCCTTTTGCTAACTTGTGAATGCAGTTTGGTTTGGAATTTTTTTTTGATGTTTTCTTTTTAATGCAGAATTGAATCTACTATAGATGCAATTTAGACCTTTAAAATTTTTAACTAGAAATTATTTTCTTTTGCTAGGAGGCAGGTGGAAGTCATCATAAAGTTTCTGTTTCACCTGTTGTCCATGTTCGAGGACTCTGTGAATCTGTGGTGGAAGCAGACCTTGTGGAGGCCCTGGAGAAATTTGGGACAATATGGTAAGGACCCTAGGGACTTCATGCAGATTGAAAACAGTTTAGTAAAACAAGCCTTGCTTGCTTGCTATAATATAAGCTTTGATGTTTGACCATAGTATATATTAAGTTTGCCTGTGACAGTATTTCTTTAGAACCTTTTAAGCCTCTTATTTTTTTCCTTCCTGGGATGATGCAGAGATGTATTTTTGTGGACCATGATCACCTATCACTCCCCAGCCAGGCTATATGCAAAATGGGTAATTTCATCTTTCATCTGACTTTCAAATGAGTCCATGACTCCTTGTTAAACACTGCTTTCATGTTTTTAAATTTTTTTTCAACGTTTATTTATTTTTGGGACAGAGAGAGACAGAGCATGAACGGGGGAGGGGCAGAGAGAGAGGGAGACACAGAATCGGAAACAGGCTCCAGGCTCCGAGCCATCAGCCCAGAGCCCGACGCGGGGCTCGAACTCACGGACCGCGAGATCGCGACCTGGCTGAAGTCGGACGCTTAACCGACTGCGCCACCCAGGCGCCCCTGCTTTCATGTTTGAATGAGTTTACGCCCTTCATCTTTAGAGTTTCAAGTAGCAGTACTTAAATACTGATTTGTTGTTGTTTATTTTGGAATGTTTAAGAATTAATTGGCAACTAAAAGTGAGTAGATGAAGGGTAGGCATTATTTGCCTTAGGTGCGTGCTGCCAGGAGTTCTGCAGGTCATGAGAAGTCAGTGTTTTATCCTAGTTTCTTTTTGTGTTTTGTATTCACTCAGTCTCCTCCTTTCTCTTCCATAGTTAGCCTATGCTTAAGAATATTGACTCAAATGAAAATATAATCAGAAAAGTGAATGTACTGCCAAAAATAGACACTCAAAAATTCTTTCTAAATTATTTTTGGAGTGTGCCCGGCTGTTGTTCTCTTACTAGTATGGATAGTCTAGAGTTGATTTTATTTTATTTTTTCCTTGGTGAATACGTTGGTTAGAGGCATCAGAGACACAGTCTAAGTCAAAATACATAAACGGGAGAGATTTCAGTGTATTTGCTGAGATAACTTGATTGCTTCAATTTTATGGAAATTTATGTGGAGTTTTGGGTATTGAAAGGATGCATAGATGGTGAGAGAGTGAGCAGAGATGTCCAACAGAAAGGAATCGTTGCCTCAAAGGAATAGTAGAGTTAGGTGACACCTTCCATCATGGCATCTTTTTTAATTTCTTTGATGATCTTCCAGAGAGGTGGGTGACGTGGCAAACCTGTTATCCTCAACTTATGCACCTTAGAGACCACTGTTACGTATTGTTTATTCTTGCACGTACAAATTGGCAGTCCACATGGGCAAAGGAAAGCCCGTTTCTTGAAATGTCATTCAGATGACTACATCACTATTTAGTCATTTGAAGAGGATATTGGAAATTAAGTTTGTCGGGAACATTATATATTGAAGCAAACTTAGACCTTATTTAGATTTGCACGTTGGTACTAGACTAACCCCGTGGGTTGCATTGTCCTATGGAATTAGAAAGAGATGGTTATTTCTGGTTTATTTTTTATTTGGTAATTTTATTTTAGGCTTTTAAAGTGATTTCTTTAAAGCCAAGAGATACTGGAGTCCTGTCAGAAAACAGGTCGACGAGCAAATACTGGTGGGAACTTTAGAGCAATCATAACTATATTGACATTTTTATGTTAATTATGACACAAGATCTTAATGTTCGGCTTTAAAGAAATAGAACTATTTGTGGAAGTTGTTGAATTATTTGAATCACTTCTTTTTTTTTTTTTTTTTTTTTTACGTGAATCACTTTTGAGTGGCCTGTATACTTTTTGATATTTAGTCCATGGTAAAGCGTTTTATATGTGAATGTAATTCTGTTAATTTGCATAGTACATCATTCTGCCCTCAGGATTGGTAGTTTTGTGGATAAAAAAGTCGTGAAATAATTGGAACAAATTAGTGTAAAATTAAAAGTTTAATTGGCATAAATATGTGCACTAGGAGTTTTAATTGTGTGAAATGATCTTGAATAAGAGGTGGCTGCTGTTAAAACTGAAAGAACCCTGAACAGCCTCCGGTGAGGAGTAGGTGTTTTACTTCAAAATGTTGCATTTATAGAACCTTTCTGTGTTTGTTTATTTCTTTAGTGGTGTGTGTGGGATTATAGAGATTATATAGAAACTGCTCATATAAAAATGTGCATCACCAAGTTCAACATCGAGTAAGTTTATACCTGAAAACTAGATGCGTAGGAAAGAAGTTGAGGAGAAACTATAAGATGTTGAGAATGGTTGTGTCAGTCTAATAAAATTCTGTATATTTGTTGTCTTTATTCTGTAGTATATTCATCTGTTAGGATCAAAAGAATGTTTAAAAAGATGTACTCTCTCTTCTTCCCTTTTCCCCTTCCATTAAAGGAGAGCATGCTAGGTATAATTAGCTATATTGGTTTAATATTTTAAAACAAACCTTTTGGGACCCAATTTGTATAATAAAATCTTTTGCCTCCTCCAACTTTTGTTTAAATATTAGTAAATGTGTTTTGAGTTATAAGTTGAAAGCACTGACCCTACCATGTCCCTTAGCCCTTTTATTTTTTCTTTCTTTGTTCTTCTCATATCTTCCTCATATGCTTTTCAAGATTTCTTAAAAATTACATGACAGATAATTTAGGTGCATTCTAAAACATCTGCAACATTCTAGTTTTCCCTTCTTTATCTTCATGTGATGCCACTTTTTCACTTCTAAGTCTGTGCTTCTAGCTCACTTCTTATTGTAGTTACCATAGAAGGCAGTTTCACTAAGACCAAGTCTATGACAGGTCAATAAAAAATTTATTTTTCAGCCTTTATAATTTTCTGTGTTCCAAAGAATCAAAGGGCATTATTAACATACTTACTTGGTAATACTATTTAGCTGTTCAACCACCTTATATTTGTGGGGGGAGAATGTTTATTCTTTAATTTCTTTTGTTCTTTTTTTTTTAGATTTTTTAATGTTTACTTATTTTTGAGAGAGAGACAGAGCACCAGCAGGGGAGGGGCAGAGAGAGAGGGAGACACAGAAGCCAGAGCAGGCTGCAGGCTGCAGGCTCCAGGCTCTGAGCTGTCTGCACAGGGCCTCATGCGGGGCTCAAACCCGCAAACGCGAGATCATGACCTGAGCCGAAGTTGGACACTGAACCAACTGAGTCGCCCAAGCGCCTCCTTCTTCAATTTCTTTAGCATAGTCCTGATTCCAGGGTTTTCTGGTTTTTTTGTATGCACGACTTCAGAACTTCATCAAGAAGTTTCTAAAAATAATATTTCTTTCCTGGAATTTATATTTTATATTCATAACTGATAATTCTTTATCTTACTGTTTCAGTAGCTTCTTTAAGTTTGAACAATGTGGGTGGGGAGAGCTAACAAGCCTCATAGACCAACAGATATTGATTGAATGCCTGTTACGTGTCAGCTCTGTTTCTAGATTCTGAGAATATGAAGATGAATGAGGTGAGGCAAGCAGTTTGTATTCAGTAACTATAATCTTGACAATAGTCTTTAACATTTTATAAATGAGAAAAGGTGAAATTCATAAGAAACTACATACTATGCCAGGCTACAAAGTGGTCTGTTTCTTACTAGTAAATCATTTGCTGCTTTCTAAAGGGTAGCGGTAGGTCTAGATGCCTGATTCAGAAATAGTGCTGTCACTGAGTACCTGACCTGATGTTCTTTCTGCAGCCTTCTATTATAAAACCCGTGCTAATTGTATTTTAAAACCTTTTTTAAGGTGCTTGTTCTTATGAATAGAGGACGTAATATTTCCCCTGCTGTGATCCATGTGCTTTGATTTCTTTCTTCCCTCCCTCTCTTCATTGCTTTATTTTTCATTTCACGTGTTAAAATATGTTCCTCCCCAAGAGTATACAATGAAATGTAAATAACTTCACCCTCTTTGTTCACAGACAACCATGATTATCATCATCTGATGACTATCTTTTCATGGATTCTTTAATATTTAAAAAATATTTTGGAAGAGATTATTTGTGTGAAATTTGGTTGGTTTGCAGTTGTTTCTATGTATATTTTAATTCTCTTGTTTTTAGTAAGATAAGCGAAATTGTATAGTCCTTGGTTATTATTAGTGTGGGCACTTGTTTATTTGGAAAATACAGTAGAGGTAGTAGTTTCTGTTGTTAAAGGTCCCAACTGCTAACTTTCTGTTCAGTTTTATCTCCGCTGGTTTCTGTATCTAGAGATTTTCTAGTATTGCTTGGGAGTGGCAGCCTGAAGAATAAACAGGGAGGTGTCATTGGTAACTGATAACAGAATTGTTTTTGAGGAAGGCAAAAGATGGAAAACCTTTCTGTCACAGGAGGATAAGCTTTCACATATGAACCATCTGCCTGGTGTACCACAGTTTATAAGAATTAACTAACATTAGGGGTGCCTGGGTGGCTTAGTCGGTTGATTGTCTGACTTTGGCTCAGGTTGTGATCTCATGGTTTGTGAGTTGGAGCCCCACATCAGGCTCTGTGCTGACAGCACGCTTTGGATCCTTTGTCCTCCTCTCTCTCTCTGCACCCCCCCCCCCCCCCCCGAATAAATAAACTTAAAAAAAAAAAGAATTGACTAACATTGAATATAGGTAGTGAAGAATACTAATCTGTATGATTTGACACATTTTTATTAGAGTCTGCCTTTCCTTGATTGAGAATAAATGTTAACTGAATTTATTCTTTCGGTATTCCTTCCCAATCTGCCTTTCAGCTATGTTATGATGATGCCATTTAAACGGCAGGCTCTAGTGGAATTTGAAAACATAGATAGTGCCAAAGAATGTGTGACCTTTGCTGCGGATGAACCTGTGTACATTGCTGGTCAACAGGCTTTTTTCAACTATTCTACAAGCAAAAGGATCACTCGGCCAGGAAATACCGATGATCCATCAGGAGGCAACAAAGTTCTTCTGCTATCAATTCAGAATCCTCTTTATCCAATTACAGTGGTATGTATTTTAGTATGATAAACTAAATTAACAGTGACTTTGAAATTTGCCTTCAGAGTGACTAACCTATAGTTTTCTTCACTGCCATCTAGGTATTTAAAAACAGTGTTTTTTTTAAAGAATTTTTAAAATGAATCTTAATTTTGACTGTCATGTTTAATGAACAAAGAAATGGCAAGCACCAAAGGTAAAAAGGTCAGAAGTGCAGTGGTCATAATTAAATAAGCACATTTAAAAATTTTTATTATTTAGCATCAGAGTTAACTCTGTTTCTGGTAAGGAATTAGACTTGTTAGAAGTGATCCAAGAAATTTGTTTCACTCATGTGCCAGTATGTGTGTTAAGAGTGTCTACTAGGTAAGGACAGAATCCCATAGTATATAATAAAATGCATATATTATTATAAGTGGTTTTGAGATAATTTATTAAAAACCTGTCTGATTTACTTAAAATTCACTGTTTAACTCTTTTAAAAAGTGGTGTTAACAGAATTTTTACAAAGGATTCATGTCCTGAACCAGTTAAATTTTCTACTTCATAATCACATGATGTTTCATAATAAGCTAGTGACAAGGACACTTTATTTTTGTGACGAATAGAATATCACAGTGAGGGAAGCTTCAATTAGAATGATTCGTGGCGCCTGTGTGGCTCAGTCATTTAAGTGTTTGACTTCGGCTCAGGTCATGATCTAACAGTTCCTGAGTTTGAGCCCCACATCGGGCTCCCTGCTGACAGTTCAGAGCTTGGAGCCTGCTTCAGATTCTGTGTCTCCCTCTCTCTCTGTTCCTCCCCCACTTGCACTCTGTCTCTCTGTCTGTCTTTCAAAAATAAATAAACATTAAAAGAAAATAAAAAGTAAAAATTAAAAAAACAATGATTTCTAGTAAAGGGCACCTGGGTGGCTCCTTTGAGCATCTTACTTAGGCCCAGGTCATGATCTTGCAGTTCGTGAGTTCAAGCCCCACATCAGGCTTGCAGAGACCACTACAGATCCTCTGTCCCCTCTCTCTGCCCCTCCCTTGCTTGTGCTCTCTGGGAAAGAAAAAATGATTTCTATACGATACTGGGACATAAACTAAAAACAAAGCATAAGATACTATTTAAATTTTGTTAGATATTATTTACCTCTAATATTTCTAGACTTATTAATAAGCAGTATTAATATGTGTTTTGGGAGAAAGAATGTTCCTAATCTAGTACAAGTACTCTGCTTTGCTTATTGTTGTATCCCTAGTACCTAATGGTGCCACTGTATAATTGTAGGTGCTCAAGAAATTTGACAGTTGAAGAATTGTTCTTAAGGGGGTTTTTAATTTTTCTCTTACTTAATTTAGGGATCTTGTTTGCTGACATCTAACATTGTATAAATGATCTTTCCTGAGTCTTTCCTCTATAGTCATTGTCCCTTGAAAAATGAATACTGAGTTGATATATTACTACCCCTTAATAAATATTTATTACTATAATTCAAGTGATTATAATATTAAACATTCCAGAGTCACATTTGGAAAACAAACCATTAATTGATTATAGTTTTGGCTTATTTATTGTGTATTGTCAGATATTATTTTAAGTACCTGTTAAAATAAGAATTGAGGGTTTATTTAGGAGATAAAATAGGTACGAGTCTTTTTGAAATGTTTCATTATAACTTCTCTAATGTTGGGTATATTGTATAGGTGAGGAAGTAACTTTAGAAGGATAACAATTTTTAAAAGTTTAATTAGTAATGAATCGAAATGACATCTTGACAGGTGTCTTTTTAGTTAAAAAAAAAAAAAAAAGCAGGGTGTAACTTTGTTGTTTTTCCAAGTATAAAATGTGAAGAAATCTTGTATGTGAAGAAATCTTGTTTTCTTTCCTTTATAGGATGTTTTATATACAGTATGCAACCCTGTTGGAAAAGTACAACGTATTGTTATATTCAAGAGAAATGGGATACAAGCAATGGTTGAATATCCTTTGATTGTAAATTTTTTAATTGATGTATATGAATGCTGTGTAATATACGTCTTACTTTTAACTGCTTAATGATATCTGGACAAGTGGTATTTATTCTCTGTTCCTCCCCCAAAATCTATTTGTCTTAGATTTAAAAACTGCAGTGCCCACAGATAATAACTTGCTACCTAAAACATTCCAGTGCTTCATCTCATAGTATGCTTTGTCTTTTTAATGGGAGAAGAAATAACATTATTTGATAATATGTACATCTCTACCTTTTTAAATGTATCCTAAACGGACTTTTCTGAATCTCTCCTTAAAATAGGTGGTTTGGAAGTACCAAAACTTTAGAGTCAGTAAAACTATTCTTACCTTTTTTTATTGACTCTTTTAAGTGGTCAAGGTTTATATAAGAACTTTTCTTTGTTAGATATGTGATATGTTGAGTAAAAAGAACAAGTAGCAAAATAGTATGTACTGTATAATCCCATGTAAACAAAAGAATAATAACTACCCTCGCCCCACATCCTATATGTACATGTGTATGCATAGAAAAAGGTAGGGATATACAGCAAATTCTTAATGGTGCTTACTTCTAGCAAGGTATTTTTGCCCTTTTTTTAAAAAACCACATTGGTGGGGTTTTTTTTGGTTTTTTTTTTAAACAATATATAGACTCAAGTAATTTTTGAAAACCAACAAAGTGAAGATAGTTTAATGGTTATAAAACCCTGTCTTCTCAGAAATATAATCAAATATTTGTTTTACATAACTGGTTTTGTTGTAATGTTTTTCCTACTTTTTTTTTTTAAATGTTTATTTTTGAGAGAGACAGAGTGTGAATGGGGGAGGGGCAGAGAGAGAGAGAGAGGGGGAGATACGGAATCTGAAACAGGCTCCAGGCTCTGAGCCGTCAGCACAGAGCCCAACGCGGGGCTCGAACTCACGAGCTGTGAGATCATGACCTGAGCCGAAGTTGAACGCTCAACCGACTGAGCCACCCAGGCACCCCTGTTTTTCCTACTTTTAAGAGTAAAATATTTCCTGTTTCGAGATAGCAAACTGTCCTTTGCCTGGGAATGTAACCATGCTCCATTTTCCCTCTTCCTTTCAATTTATGAAGTACTTCAGGTGACTTGGAAGGATTAATGTAGTTTGGTTTATTATGTTTTCTTTGGCACCCTTGATTTTGAAAATAAGTACTCCTAAAATTCATCTAGAAATTTTATTGGTAAAACATTTCTAGAAGTGAGAGTTCTGATTATTTTCAGTCCTTTTCTGAGGCAGCGAATAATGATAAAATATTGGATACGTTAAACCAAATTTCCTTAATAGAGCTTATGTTTGAATCAGTCCTTTGTGCCCAGAAAGCTAAAGCAGCACTCAATGGAGCAGATATATATGCTGGATGTTGCACACTAAAAATCGAATATGCAAGGGTAAATATTTTTTCAACACTTCGCCAAAGAAATATTTATGCTTTGGATATACAATTTGAGCTTACTTTCTTTTTAATCTTAACAGCCAACTCGTCTAAATGTTATTAGGAATGACAATGACAGTTGGGACTACACTAAACCATATTTGGGAAGACGAGGTAAGTATTTTATGCATTTTAGAATGTGCTTACATCTGCTGACAAATTTTTACATGCAGTTAGATTCCTTTTTCCTGAGGTGAGCTAGTTCATTCAAATGAAAACCTTGTTGGTGAATGCTTTTGTTGCCAAAGGCCATGTAATGCTGGAAAATAACCTTGAAATTAGTGCCCCCTACTGGTATGTACGGAGTTATTTATATTTAGTTCAACCAGGAGCCCACACATACAGGCACGCCCGCAGTTCAAGGACTTGCATTTCTCCAAGCAGCTCTCTCTCTTTGGAGGAGAGGAAACTGATTCAGAATATTCCTTACAAACTGCAAACTTGCACACTGCTTCTCTATGGAAAGGACTTTTCCCCCAAGCTGGACAAGGCATTAAGAAGGATAGAGGACTCCAGCAGGCTGACTCTACACTTCATCATGCACAACATCGGCATCAGCAGAAAGCCCTCTGAAAAACTCAGACTTGCAATTCACCTTGACTGCATACTGCATGCACCATCACCCCAAGTTTTTAAAGGAGGACACTTAACAGTACTTCAGACTTGCATGGGATGAACACCATGATAGACTGTGCCCATTTATTCAAGTTGTATGTATATATTGGTCTGATTTCCCTTAAGGTTTCAGTTGTAGAATTTAAGATTTTTCACTAACGGGTACTAGAACTTTATCTATGATGTTGTAAATCTTAATGCCCATTACTGTAACTGTTTGCAGCCTAGATTCAAATTGTTAATTGGCAAATAACCAGGGCCAGATTATCAACAGGCCTTAAGAACTGCTTATGCTCAACCAATCCACACAGATATTAGAAAGAAAAGGAATAGAAAGGTGCACACACCTGCTGCACCTAAGTTTACTCTTTTGGGTTTTTTTTTTCCTTAACTGTGGACATTGACTAGATTAACCTGATGATGAAAAGATGCATTATATGTAAAAGATGATCTCTGTGTGGTTTGATTTTTTTTTTTTTTTTGTAAAGTGGCTGTTCATAAGTTGTCACTTTTTGTAACAATTTAAGGTTATCACTCATGTTAACTTGTGTAACTAGAAATTTTGACATTTCAAATGTAGGTGAAAGTAACATGTCTGTTCAAGGTAGACAATATTTAAACTTGATAAATCTTAAAGTAAGAGCATTTCATTTGAGATGCATTTTCACCTATAACTGATAAATGCTAGGTTTCATGAGCATAGATCTGACTGATAAAATTGTTCAACTAACTGTGTGGCAATTCTGGAATATACAAATTAAAATGTGGATCTTGTAAAAACAAGGGGGCTGCAGTATTGGCTACACCTCAACTACAATATTAGTGTTGGAACCACGTGTTGAAAAAACTCACCAAGATGAGCATATCTGTAAAAATCCACAAAGTAGGAAAAATTTTTATGGCATCCAAAATATCGTGGGCAGTAGGTACTCTATAGTGCATGTATGTATTCTTGCCAAAAGAAAAAAGAAGACAATGTGATGATCTTTTGCATGTTCAAATATTTAGGACTTTGGGTGATTGGCCCCTTAATTCTCAATTCTTAGGAAATCATCTTGTCTTATGCATGGGGTTGCAAACAGGTTTGTATTATAATGCAGCTTCGGCTGGACCCCACGTTTTTCACTACTCACAAATCCACTTGGCATAGGCTTAGTACAGTTGAATACAGCATTGGAAAACAAAGCCTTAGTACTCAAACAACAGAACAAGTGGTTGATGAGAAATCTCTCACTTCTGTCAAATTATAGTCAGTTATTGAACACTTTTTTTTTTTTTTTAAACTCTTGAAATAGCTCTGGTAACCTTTCTCTTAATGTCTCTTAAAACATTGTAGATATGTTTCTTATTAGTGTTCACATCTGTTCTTTTAAAAGGTCTGAAGTTTATGCAGAGCCAACTTAGATTAGTTTTTCATACAAGTAATTAGTGTCAGAAAAGGTTACAAATGGGTGAGATAGATATTTAAATAGCAAAATATAAAGAAGTAAAGTAGAATTTTACTTGGTTATGTTTCAAGGGAAAAACTCTTGTTTTCTAAATCCTTACAGATACTTGTCTGGTGAGACCATACCAGTTTACATTCTTGAAGTCTTGTGACTTCCTCTTCTACTCAAGTTGATACTGAATTGTAACTTTTTTTTAAGTTTATTCATTTATTTTGAAAGAGAGAACACAAGAGACAGCATGAGTGGGGTAGAGGCAGAGAGAGAGGGAGAGAGAGAGAATTCCAAGCAGGCTCCACGCTTTGTGCCGGGCCCGACGCAGGGCTCATTCTCATGACCCTGAGATCATGACCTGAACCAAAATCAAGAGTCAGGCACTTAACCCACCGAGCCCACCCAGGCATCCTGTGAATGAATTGTAACTTTTTCTACTAAAAAGAGCTCTGTAATAAATACAACCTCATTTTTAAAAGTCCTTTTCAGCCCAAATTACATTTTAGTGTGAAAAATTCTTAGCCTGGACTCCAGAGAATCACTCCAGAAACGTTAAGCAAAACTTGTCTATGTGTACATCTTTTTGGGGAGAATGTACACAGATTCCATCAGATTTCAGATGAATTTATGAAAAGTTTCAAACTACTATTTATAGACTGATGTAATTAGTGTTTGACTCTTCTGCACACTTCTGTTTTATGTGACCTTATATTAGGTAGTTAATGCTTCAAATCCAAAGAGCTATTAATAATGATAATATTCGGCTGAAAGATACCTTAGGAGATTATCTACTCTTAACTCCTTCATTTTATGAATGAAGGTTGTGAGTTTATGTAATTATCCAGTGAATTAGTGTTTAAGTTGGAATCTTCTGATTCCCAATCTCTAGTGCTCTTTCCTTTATAGGACACTGTTAACTATATCAATAAAACTGAGTCATGAAGACATTATGGTGGTTTTGGTTTAAGATTGCTTAGATCAGATGAGGAATTGTATGTAGTGTTGGGTGGCATACTTAAGTAAAGGAACATTAACAGAAGGGATTAGCAGACTGGGTTGATTCAAGAGGAGTGAGACTTAAATGATGATACTGGATGCTGGAACCCGTATAATGGAAAGAAGGAGCTGTGAATGACTGGAGAAGAAATGACTGGGGAAATGGAGGAAGGATCTTAATAACTTGGAAGCTTTTGAAAGGGTCTTTGGAGAAAGACTAAGTCTACGAGGCCTCAGACGGGATAGAATATGGGTAGAGGACCAATTTCTATACAATATAAACATTAATTTTCTCATTATTTAGGACTAACTGAAAATGTAAGGGAAAGTCATGAGAACCTTGTTAATTGGTGTTGGGTAAGCAGAGGCTAGATATTCCAACTGATAGGGATAATGTAAAGAGAATTTATACAAAATAAATGGAACAAGATGACCTCTTAGGTCCCTTTTAATGCTATGATAACTTCAAATAGGTACTTAAAATTGTACTTCTCTAGGCTGAAGTGAAAATTATTTCTCATCTCCCATAAACGTCATTTGTTTAGGTGACTAAGGATTTATAGAAGGCCTCTCTCTAAATTTTCAAAGATTAGAATTACCAGACTCTTAAGATACATTAAAAAAAAAAAATCTTATTGGGTGCTATGATTTGATCAGCAAACTTTCTAAAAAGCATTGTACAATAATTTCTAAAATTTACCAACCAACATAGGAAGTGCTGTTTTAGAAACTTGTAAGTAATTTTATTATTGATCTCTCATTCTAGATTTAGGAAAATTGGCATGCCTTTCCTGAAAACATAGCTAGAATAAAAATTATCTTTTAGGAGTATTGTAGTACTCTCATCCAATAATGTAGCCCCCTTGGTTAGCTTTATCTTGGCGTATTTAAACTTTGGAGGGTGCTCATAGTCCTGCCTGGTGTTAAGGTCTATAGACAATGACCAATCCATGCTATAATATGGGCCAGTGATGTGCAGATTTCCAGCTCTCAAGTCAGTAGGTGTTTGTAAATATGTGTATATACATACAAAATACTCTGTGTTTACTGATTGTGAAACCATGTAATACAGGTTGTTGTTGGCTTATGCTGAACTTCTTGAAAGAAGCCCACTTTGAAAATGTGTTGCTGTTGAAGCTAATAGTATGATTCAGGTACTGTCTTTCAAAAGTACTGCACTTAAAGCTTGTTTTAAAGACATGTATTGGTAAAAACTTCTGTACAGTGTCAAACTCTAGCATTGTGTATGTTCACTTTCCGAAAAGTATCCATTCTTTCCTTAAATTTGAAAGTGTGATTGTATTTGGCACTTGCCAAAAAGATATTTTCAAGTTAAGTGGAATTTGTTAGATAGAATTACTTCCTTAAACTTTTGGTGTTTGTATTTAAATTGGATATGAATGGATGTTTAAAGTTAACCAGGAATCCTATTTCTTTTATGAATTGTAATGGATGTTTTGAATGGGTGTTTCCCATGTGAGAACTGTTAAGTACTTGGGTCAAAATTGTTAAAACCATGTTTCTACTTTTGTGTCAGATAGAGGAAAGGGTCGCCAGAGACAAGCCATTTTGGGAGAACACCCTTCTTCGTTTAGACATGATGGCTATGGTAAGTTTGTCAAGGCAGAAGGAAGGTAGTATAGACAAACTACTAGAATTTTTGCATTTCTGATGAAGAATGGCACATTTCTTGTCTCTATTTTTCCTGCTCACCTGACTTGGTTTATAGGGGACTAGTCACTTAAAATGTACTCCCAAGGAGTTGTCCAAAATCCTTTGTTTTCTTAGGATATTGATATATAATCCTTGAGATGAATGAGAGCTACTGGTTGGAGATTGAAAAGCTTTTTTACCATTTTGTTTTGGTTTGGTTTGGTTTTGATTTTGATTAGTAGTGGGTTCTGGTCTGTTAGAAGACCAAAAAGAGATACTGCTTTAGTAAGTATATTTTCTTCCATTATACCAATTATGAGCAAAGAGGAACTTTGAATAATAAAGGCAGAAAGGATGGGGTATTTGTCCAAAAGAAATATGTTTTCTTGTTAGAGCCTTAAGTCTTTTACAGTTAAGACAATTCTACAGTTGGTATTTTGGCTTTGGCTAAATTTGTTTGTATTTAATTCCTCTTTTAAAAATTCTTAGTTTTAATGTTTGGTATATTGATAAGATTTAAGATCATGAAACCTAGAATAATACTCTTCCCCAGGAAAAAGTTAGGTATCAGACTATTGTCCTTATAGGTAGATGTTGAGAATTGCTACTGATAAGTCTTGTAACTGGTTAGAAGTTCTGTGATTTTAAATATTTTTTAGTTTTAAATAGTTAGTGACCCCACCTATTCTGTGGTTTAAAGCTGAAGTATGATGCTATTAGAAGTGGTATAGAAAATAGAAATTGCTATATTGTGCTCTCAGGATTTATCTTTGAAAAGCTTCCAGTGTTGCCTGTTTTCTGAAATGTTTTCAGCATGCCTGCGTGTTTGATCATTATTCTTAGCTGCGAGCTTAAGCTTATTCCTTAGTTTGTTTTTTTGAACTCCAGGATTTATTACGTGTGTGTGTGTGTGTGTGTGTGTGTGTGTGTGTGTATGTTCAAGTTGCTATGGTAGTCTATATGGCAGAAATGATTGAAACAATCTGTGTTCTGTCTAAACAGTAAGTGTGGTATAGGATGAAAATCTTACTACAATTATTTTAATGAGCTCCTTGATAATTTTTCTTAGCTATTTCTTTGACAGCGTAAATATTAAATCTGGTCATAAGGATGGCTCTGCTCCTGTAGTAAAGAAACACTTATTAAGAGTCCACTATGCTTTCCATAATGGAGGGTTACAAAGAATTGTAATCACAAGTTTGTAGTGTAGTTGTGGAGTATATGTGTCATGGCAGTCAGCTGAATGCTAAAAATTGTTTAAATGTTTTGCCACAGGGTCTAGAATAACCTGTTAAAGAATAAATGAAGGACAGAACCCTACTGTGGTAGTGTTGACACTATTTTCTTGGTATGGATTTTCAGAGTTGCTTTTCTTTGTAAAATCCATCTTACCGAAAAATTATATAAACAAAACTGTGTTATATACCCTAGAAGAACTTTATAGTTTTAAAAAGCTTATTGTCCAACTCCTTATCAGTTTCATACCCCAATTTAGTGTGTGTGTGTGTGTGTGTGTGTGTGTGTGTAAATTTTAAAATGTAAGCTTACTTAAAGAGAGGTGTAAAATTCTTTACATTGGTAGTTAAATAGGGATCATTCTGGAGAGTCCTGCTCAGCAGGAATGGTTGTGTAGGGACCATTCTGAGCTCTGTCCATTGAAGCAGTTACCTCTCTGAGGAAAACTTGTTCTTCTTTTCTAGGGAAGTAAGCAGAATAGAGTATAAGAGGAGAGAGAGAGATGAATAAAAAGAGGTAGAGAAGTAAGGTGAGGAAATGGGGGAAAAAGTAAAGAAGATGGGAATAGGTGCTAGTGACATTGAGACTTTTTTTTTAATGTTTATTTATTTTTGACAGAGAGAGAGACAGAGACAGAGACAGAGGATGAGTGGGGGAGGGGCAGAGAGAGGGAGACACAGAATCCGAAATAGGCTCCAGGCTCTGAGCTGTCAGCACTGAGCCCGATGCGGGGCTCGAACTCACACACCGCCTCACACACCGTGAGATCATGACCGAAGTCAGACACTCAACCGACTGAGCCACCCAGGTGCCCCAGAGACTTTTTTTTTTTTTTTTTTAGGAAGGGAGCGGGGGGAGGAGCCGCCAGGGGGGGGAGAGACAGAGAGAATCTCCACGTGAAGCTAGATGTGGGGCTCTATCCCACAGCCCTGGTATCATGACCTGAGCCGAAATCAAGAGTCAGACACTCAACCGACTGAGCCACCCAGGCGCTCTGATACTGAGCCTTTTAAAAAACATTGCAAATCACAGCTGTGTGCCTTCAGATGAGTAGTTCAGCAAAACCAGTGTATTTGCATTTTGGTGTCATATCGTAAGTGGCTTTTCTTTTATGATGGTATAGGAGAAAGAGGAATAGAAAAGATTTAATTTTTAATTAGATTAAATTTATTCATTGATTTATTATAGCAGTATAAATCTATGCTTTCAGAATATTTTAAATTTTTTAATTTGGGGAGCCCGGTCCTATGAGATAAACTTGCAGATGCCCTCATATTTGAAAAGTATGATTTTTGCTACTTTTATACAGATTTATTTGCTGTGAGCCTAAGAAAAGTTTATATATTAATTGCTAGTGTCTTTGGATATGCTCCTGGACCAAAGATTTTAAAGTATCAAAGATGAGAAATGCTATTAAAATGACAGTAATGCCATTTAGGTAGTATTTTCCCACATAAGTGAATTTTTTAAATACCAGAAGTATTAGCTTTTTAAGGATCAAAATATTTTGCGTGAACTTTTTGTTTTATATATAGAAAGCTTTTAAAGATTTCTATTTTTTCTTCTTAAACAATATAGGCAGCAATGTAAATAGCATAGATAACATAATTTAATTTTTTTTTTTTCAACGTTTATTTATTTTTGGGACAGAGAGAGACAGAGCATGAACGGGGGAGGGGCAGAGAGAGAGGGAGACACAGAATCGGAAACAGGCTCCAGGCTCTGAGCCATCAGCCCAGAGCCTGACGCGGGGCTCGAACTCACGGACCGCAAGATCGTGACCTGGCTGAAGTCGGACGCTTAACCGACTGCGCCACCCAGGCGCCCCATAGATAACATAATTTAATCGTGATGGCTGAGGTCATAATTACAAACGTCAGTTATTCTCTTGCACTGAATTCAGTTGTTACCTAGGGCAGTGAATCTCAGCATTTTTGGACCTTGGGGAACTTAAGTAGAGTGGAAGTTTCCACTGCCCATCTAGCACATACACACATCTTTCTACTTCCTATGAAAAAGAATATTTAGTGATAATAGTGAAATGTCATTACTGTACAAGCAAATGGTGGTAGTGTAATATGTATGGTATAATATGTATGTGTGTGTTTGCAGTAGGGGTAAGAATGATTGATATTTGACCCCATTATATGTATCACTCTAAATTAGAGGCCAAAATATGTATAGTTACTAACAAGTATATATTGATGAGCTATATTGATTGTTTTAATAAACTATCAATTCCCAGCAGGAAGAGCAGTTGAATTCCAATTTAAGACAACACTGATAACGATGAATTGATAAGGTGTTTCTGCCTTCATGAAATTGTAGGAATTCACACTATGTGTGTGCTCAGTGGTAGTGTTGCAGAATTGTTATGAATGGCAACTATATTTAGAATACTGAAGTCTGAATTGGAGTCCACATAAGTTCTAATAGCATGCTGTGAATACCAAGATGTAGTTTCTTAGTGACTGACTTAGTAGATGACAGTTGTCCCTTAGTCTTGGATAAAAATGAAAGTCAGTAGTATTATATACGCTTTACTTCTTGAGAAATGAGGAAAAGACTTGGGTTTTTGGATCGGTTTCTTGCACATCAAGAAGACCTTTGCATGTACCAGAGTATGCTTCGATTATGTAATCACTAACTCAGGAGCACTGAAGGTGTATGGATTTACGTTTCTGAGCTGTATCTCCATCTGAGTTTCTTCTTTTTTTTTTTTTTTTTTTTTTAGTTGAACTACAACTAACATACACTGTTGTATTAGTTTTGGTTATACAATATAGTGATTGGACATTCTATACATTATGCAGTGCTCACCACGAGAAGTGTGGTACCATACAACGTTACTACAGTGTTATCGACCATATTCCCTGTGCTGTACTTTTTATCCCTGAGACTTAATTTTTTTTTTTTTTTTGTAACTGGGAGTTTGTACTTCTTAATCCCCTTCCTATTTCACCCCCCTCCCTCCTTGCCTCCCACAACCTCCAGTTTATGAGTCTGTTTCTTAGTTGCTTCTCAGTTCTTACGCCTCTCTTCTTGCTGTTGTGAATGTGCCTTATGCCTGCTTTTAGTATCAGTTTCTCCAGACTCCGTCCTCATTCCTGTCTGTTCCATTCACTTTAGCTTTATTTTTCTTGTTACTTCCAATCTGTTATGGATGGGAAAACCAGATAGAGTTGTTTAGAACTACTCTAAAGTTAGCATGTTGATTCTTAATAAGGATTCTCAGCGCGAGACATAGATTTATGTGTGTTTCTGTGACAACAGTTTCAGACACTCAGCCTTTATTTTCTTCTGGGCTCTTGATGTTGTTTCAGATAGTGCAGGGTGCTGAATAAATGACACCTTTGCATAGGTGAGATATTAACTAAATTAGAGGTTTAGTTTCCTAAATTAGAATTGGGGGATAAAATACTAACTAGAAAGCACATTATAGTAAAATATATTCAAGGAGGCAGCTTTTCATTGGAATTAAAGAGATGTTCCTTTTGTTATATCTGTATATAGAGATAGTTTCTGAGATTTCGTTGTGTATGTTACTGTATTATCCTCCAAAAGATTTTGGCAGGAGGCTTTTAAAAAACTTTTGAGGTATAATTTATACACAGCAGCCCAAAGTTTTACACTGATTTCCCCTTATTCCCACTATCTATGGCCTGATTTTGTATACTTCTGGTTCAACAATATTTTTAAAAATACAAACTTAAAGCCTGATGTATATGCAGGGGTGTGCAGGTCAATGTATATAGGATCTGATACAAAGAATTACAGATTTTATTAATCCCCACAGGTTATATTTGAATATTAACACATTTGAGTTTTCCTGGGACATACACCAAACTAGCTAATAGTAAGAGTTTACTTTTTGTGTGATGAAGCGTATCTGCTAAAGTTGTGTTTTGTTTTGTTTTGTATCATTTTCATAGGCTCCCATGGTCCATTATTGCCTTTACCAAGTCGTTACAGAATGGGCTCTCGAGATACACCTGAGCTTGTGGCGTATCCGTTACCACAGGCTTCTTCCTCTTACATGCATGGAGGAAATCCGTCTGGTTCAGTTGTAATGGTTAGTGGATTACATCAGCTAAAAATGAATTGTTCAAGAGTGTTCAACCTATTCTGCTTATATGGAAATATTGAAAAGGTAAGTTTCATTTCATATTAATTTCTTTTGCTAGGATATCTAGCAGGAAAGTCTGAATAGGCAGTAAATACATGTGTCTTCGCCTTTTATTGGGAACATACAAGTTCTTTTAGTAGTAACCAATGTACGCTAAAAATTCATTAGGTAGGAACTTCAGAAGTTGTTTTTTGTTGGTAAGTGATCGGTATAGGTTGTTGGTACTAAAAATACTTTAAAAATAGAAGTCCAAAACAGTTTAATCAACCACTAGAGTATTATAGACATAAAGCCTGTATTAATTTTATCATTACAAAGAGTTTCTGTCTAGCATTTAACATGTTGAACTGTAGAATTTGAAAGAGCAGTTACTTTCGTGGAGCTTGAGCACAAGTCATGAATTTTTAGGAAAATCCTGGATTTATATACTTGGCCTTCTAAATGCTAGAGTTCTAGTATCTTCTGAGGAACAATGTGCTTTTAGCTCTATCAGTATTTGAAACTGACCCATTTTGAAAGAATGTGTCCAAAACTTTGTCTGGAGGCTTATACTCACTCAAAAAGTAGCAAAACATTTAAATTTTATATATTTTAAAGATCTTTAAAGAGCTGTAACCTTGTTTTCACTAGGCATCTATTTCCCTGATCTGTGATGTTTTGTTCATTGATATAAATACTTAAAATAGTTCTTATCATAAAGTAGATGCTAAACTGTTTTTTAAAGAATCATGGAAAATTTAACTGGGGAAGTGATCGGTAGTCTTAAGTCACCAATTGTTCGATACCCTTGCCAATTTGAGTTTCAGTACTGAGGTAATGTTATTTTTCTCTATTGTTTTAAGTGATTTTAGTGTTCTTTTCACTACAATAAAAAGGTATAAGCATGTGAGTCATAAATGTGTGGGAGGGGGAGCATGGCTTGAATAGTTGGTACTCTTAGTTCTTACTTGGTTTAATTCTAAAGCCTCCTTGATCTGAGGAAGCAACTCAGAAAATCTCTGAGACAAGAATTTCCTCAACATAACAATTTGACCACATTTAGAAAGGAAAGAAAATTCCACTTTTGGTCTAGGGCTAACATATGGGATATCTCTGCTTATGTAACTAGCCAGGAATACAGGGGATAGATTTAGCAATACTGGGAGAAGTAGTCCAGAATTTTTTCACACAGACATTTATCTTAAGACACCTAGGTGTTAGTTAAGGTTTAGGAACTGCATGTTTGATGACTAAATGGGCTTTAGTGTGTATTTTAGCCTTATCACTTAGGTTGTCTCTTTGTGCTTATCATATTTGTAGATAATCAGAATCAGGCAGTTCAATCAACATCTTTAGTATATCTTTGTCTTTTGTGTTATGAACTAATTGTCTCATGATTTAGAAACATAAATCACTTTGTGTGATAAATGCAAAATCTTCTGTGTGCTATTTGAACAATTCTAGTCCCATATCTCAAAAATTTTTAAACATTTTAAATAATATATTATGATACACGAATCTCAAGTTATGATAATCCTTTAAAAGACCTATATATAGTTAATTATTCCTCACCTTTTTTTGAGATTCATGAATATAAGAGCTCCATATTTAATATATTTAGTCATTATTAGATTTGTAGGATGTTATTGGATTAAATCAATGTATAGAAATTTTGCCCGCAAGAAAACAGTTGATTTCGAGCAAAGCTGAAAAGTTCTACTATAACTGAGTTTTGTTTAAATACAGGAGCAGTATAAAAATGCCAAGATAGCCCGTTAAAAAGGATAGTTAGTTGCAAGGGTGGGTATAAATGCTATGCTGCATTTGTTGTGTAAATATGTTTGTAGTGTTCTTTTAAGGCTAACAAATAAGAAGGGAGTATATTCAAGGTATCGTGAATGTTAGTGGTACAGAATAGCTATTTTAAGGACTTTCCAAGGGGCGGGGTACTATGCTGAATAATTATCATACTTCAACCCATCTAACCCTCGTTACTACATTGTTATATATATTAAAATTGGAATAATATAAGAGGATAAGTATGGCCTCTGTCCAAGATGTTATGAGAACTTGTGAAGTAAAGCCTGTGTTTTAAAGTGCCCCTAACCTTGTACAAGCCTTCCTCCTGGCAGTGCTGTCTCAAGGCCATCTTGTATTATTTCTTACAGTATCTTGAGTATTGCCTTAACAGCATTCTGAAAAGTCGGTAATTACTATTTACTTTAAAATTTTTGACCTACCTACCAGAATATAAGTTTCAAGAAGACTGTGTCTATTATGTTCACCATTAATTCCCAGTACCTCACACAGTGTTTATCAAAATGTTTGAGGCACCTAGTAAATGTTTGTTGAATGAGTAAATATTGTTGAATCCTACTAGATGTTACCGTTATCTCCATTTCATAGGGAAGTCTGTGGCTCAGGGAAGTGAAGTAAATTGCCCCAAATCACACAATAAATAGCAGAGTCAGGGTAAGCCTGTGCTCTTCTTTATTGTGCTATATAATAGAATTATAGTCTTCCTTTTTTTTTAAGTTTATTTATTTATTTTGAGAGGGAGAGTGCATGCTCACAAGCAGTGGGAGGGGAGAGAATCCCAAGCAGGCTCCATGCTGACAGTGGGAGCTCAATTTCATGACCCATGAGATCATGACCTGAGCCAAAATCAAGAATCAGACATTTAAGCGACTGACCCATCTAGGCGCCCCTATCATCTTCCTTTTTAACTGTTGAATTTTGATAAGAGCTAGGAGTGTGTAATAGCACAGCAGAATAAAGTCAAGATTCCAGGTGATCTTCTGTATTTGACATCAACCACTTAAATCATACTATCTTTCAGAAATTCTGTTACTGTAGAAGGGAAATAAATAGTCACCTTTTTGGGATTTTGTATTTACAGGTAAAGTTTATGAAGACCATTCCTGGTACAGCACTGGTAGAAATGGGTGATGAGTATGCTGTAGAAAGAGCTGTCACACACCTTAACAATGTCAAATTATTTGGGAAAAGACTTAATGTTTGGTAATTATCTTAAGTGGTAAATTTTAAAAGTGTTAAAAAAAAACTTCATTTTTATTAGAAACATTAATTTCAATTTCAGAATATTTTAATGTAATTGAGAGCACATTTGAAACTAGCACCTATAATGTTACCATTTTAGACAAAGTGTGTTAGGGTCATATAATTCAGGTTTTGCTCACCTATACCTAGTTTTTAGTGTTACCATAAAACAGCCTGTAAAAATGGGCAAGTTTTGTGTAAAGTTTCCTAATACAAGACTGTATCTAAGCTATGAGTGATGGATTATAACTCAAACTAAATTTAAATATTCAAATAAATGTTTAAAATATTAAATATTTAAACCACATTTAAAATAGCTACATTTGTCTTATTTGTTAAAATTGAATGCAGGCATATGTATTAACATTTCGAGACTGTCTACTTGCTGCTTTTTATCTAACAAGCTATGTTCTGTACGTTTTTCCTTCCCAATCTTTAGTGTGTCTAAACAACATTCAGTTGTTCCAAGTCAAATATTTGAGCTGGAGGATGGTACAAGTAGCTACAAAGATTTTGCAATGAGCAAAAATAATCGCTTTACAAGTGCTGGTCAAGCATCTAAGAATATAATTCAGCCGCCCTCGTGTGTGCTGCATTATTATAATGTTCCATTGTGTGTCACAGAGGAGACCTTCACCAAGGTGGGTGCTGAAATAGAGTTGTGCAGAATGTTCTGTCTTATTTTAAAATTTAAAATATTTTAGCCTCATTTTAAAGTCTTGCGCTGTTCATCTACTTTTGATGTTAATAGTATTCTGTTATTTATTTGGTACTTTATAGTTCATTCTTTGGTCATTGTACTTTTCTGGCTTCCATTCTGCATTAGTCTTTTGTTGGTTTGTGGCTCAGTCTTTTTGAGAGTTGGATTGAGAGTGAGAGACCTTACTTCTGGAATCAGAAAGTTCTTTTACTATGCCCTTAAATCTTGCCCATAAAAAAATGTTATCTATCCCTACCTTTTTGCCTAAATGTAGGAAATATTTCAGAAAAGAATTGATTTTCTGGAACTCCACTCCCTACCTTAGACACTAGATAAATCTTGGTCAGCTCTGAAAATATGTATTTCAGTTACCAGTTTGTGGTTTTATTGTATAGCACTAAATAAGTTACATAGTTCACAGAATATCACTTTTTTTTAGTTGATTTTCTCCTAGAATTTACTAATCTAAAAAGTGTTTGATGTAATTCATGCATGCCAGTCTTAAATGCTGCCATAAATTTACTTTCTTAAAAAAACAGGAATATTATTATTTTGGCCATATTTTTAATGGAGTTTTACATTTCTTTGACAGTTATGTAATGACCATGAAGTTCTTACATTCATCAAATATAAAGTGTTTGATGCAAAACGTAAGTGCACATTCCCTCTTTTTAGGTTTTCTGGTTAAACTGATGACAAGCAAATAACAACTGGATTTGTGTTTCTTTGTTTTGTTTTAGCTTCTGCCAAAACACTTTCTGGGCTGTTAGAATGGGAATGCAAAACTGATGCAGTGGAAGCCCTTACCGCACTTAATCACTACCAGATAAGAGTTCCAAGTAAGTGAAATTGTGTCATAATTATTCAATAGCAGTTACTGTCAAAACATTAGTAATTTTACCATAACAATTACTGTCTTTTTAATATAGAGAAGTACAAAATAAAAAGGCGTATAAATCCCACCCCCCACACAATCCTTATGTTAGTTCCCTATTGCTTGTATAACAGATTACCACTTTCAGCAGTTTAAGACAGCAAACTGAGGGTCAGTAATCTGGGGACAGTTTAGCTGGGTATTTCTAGCTTAGGATCTCTCGAGGTTGTGGTCAAGCTGTTTTCTGGGTCTACAGTCATTTCAAGTCATGCTTGGGGACTGGGAAATCCATTTCCAAGTTCACTTACGTGGTCCTTTGCAAGTCCAGTCAAGTTACATTGGCCATTTCATGGTAGCTGGCTTTCTTCAGAGTAAGTGATCCAAAGGAAATGAGAGCAAAAACCAAACCAGAAGCCACAATGTCTTTTATACCCTAATATTTGGAAATGACATACTATCATTTATGCTGTATTTTAATTGCACAGACCAACTGTGGTACAGTGTGGGAGGAGACTGTACAGGGCTATGAATATCAGAAGGGTGGATCATCGAGGCCATCTTGGATGCTGGCTCCCACAATCCCTCTTGATGTTTTTAGAAGAAAGTAATACATACATACATTTATATGGTTAAAAAGCTTAAAGCACATAAGGGTACAAAATGAAAGTTAAAGGTTTCTACAACTTACAATCTGTTTGTCTTCTTTATTCCTCCTCCAGTGTATGTATATCTACATTTAAAAAATTTACATAAAATGTTTTGTTTTTTTTTAATATTTTGAGAGGGTGCATGCATGCACCTGTGCGTGTATAAAAGTGGGGGAGGGACAGAGGGAGAAAAAGGGGGAGAGAGAGAGAGAGAGAGAGAGAAAGAGAGAGAGAGAATCTTAAGGAGGCTCCTTGCTCAGTGTGGAGCCAGGTGAAGGGCTCAGTCTCACAACTGTGAGATGGTGACCTGAGCCAAAATCAAGAGTTGGATTCTTAACTGACTGAGCCACCCAGGCACACCCACAAAATGGTTCTTCTTTGTTGTTGTTATTATTGTTGTTGTTGTTATTGTTGTTGTTAGCGCAAGTTGGGAAGAGGGACAGAGGGGGGAGAGAGAGAGAGAATCTTTTACTTTTTCATTTGAGAGAGAGAAAGCAGGAGAGAGGGGCAGAGGGTGAGAGACAGAGACAGAATCCCAAGCAGGCTCCATATTCAGTGCAGAGCCCAATGTGGGGCTCAGTCCCGTGACCCTGGGATCATGACCTGAGCCGAAATCAAGAGTCGGATGCTCAACCAACTGAGCCACCCAGGTGCCCCCAAAATGGTTCTCCTGTACATATTCTTCTTTGCCTTACTGGTTTCATTTACTATGTCTTAGAGCTATTTCTGTATCAGCACATGCAAAGCCACTTTTTTTTTTTTTTAAAGCACAGGCATAGTAGCTATTCATGGTGGAGATGTACCACAATTTGATTTATCATGAATACTGGTTTTAATTTGTATCAAATGAAATTGTCTCTCTGTTTAATCTTTCCAAAATGGTAAATGGCCTCTTTTTCTACCATGCAAAGAACACTCAAGTATATAACTTCTTTTTTTTTTTTTTTTTTTATTTTTTTTTTTTTTTTTTTTTTTTTAGTTTTTTTTATTTTTGGGACAGAGAGAGACAGAGCATGAACGGGGGAGGGGCAGAGAGAGAGGGAGACACAGAATCGGAAACAGGCTCCAGGCTCTGAGCCATCAGCCCAGAGCCTGACGCGGGGCTCGAACTCCCAGACTGCGAGATCGTGACCTGGCTGAAGTCGGACGCTTAACCGACTGCGCCACCCAGGCGCCCCTCAAGTATATAACTTCTGAAGCGTTGTGCTGTGTACTTTGATCCTGGATCTAAAGGGTGTTAAAAGTTTATTTTTCTAAATATTGGAAGAAAAAATATTACTAACTTAATTAGGTATGATGAGGAAAGAAAGGAAAAATACACACTGAGGATTTATGGGTACAATAACATATTGAGGATTTACTTTAAAATATTCTAGCTCCCAGGGGCACCTGGGTGGCTCAGTCGGTTGAGCATCCAACTTTGGCTCAGGTCATGATTACACAGTTCGTGAGTTCAAGTCCCGCGTCAGGCTCTGTGCTGACAGCTCAGAGCCTGGAGCCTGCTTCAGATTCTGTGTCTCCCTCTGTCTCCGCCCCTCCCCCACTCACGCTCTGTCTTTCTCAAAATGAATAAATGGTTAAAAAAAATTGTTTTTTATATTCTAGCTCCCAAAAAGTGTGTGGAGGGTAGGTAGATAAAACTGTCAAATTTTGACAATTATTAAAATTAGGTGATAGAGGGGCACCTGGGTGGCTCAGTTGGTTAAGCGGCCGACTTTGGCTTAGGTCATGATCTCGTGGTCCCTGAGCTTGAGCTCCGCATCGAGCTCTGTGCTGACATCTCAGAGCCTGAAGCCTACTTTGGATTCTGTGTCTCCGTCTCTCTCTGCCCCTCTCCAACTCATACTCTGTCTCTCTCACTCTCAAAAATAAATAAACATAAAAAATTAAAACAAAAAATTGGGTGACATATAGGGGTTTGTCATACTAATCTATAAATTTTTTTATGTTTGAAAATTTTAATTAAAAGATAAAAAATAAATAGGAATATCTCATTTAACTTTTTAGTCACAAAAGTAAATTTTAGGTAGTGAATCATAGCTTAATATTAGAAGGTTTTTATTTGTTTATTTATTTTTAAAGTTTATTTTTGAGAGAGAGATTGCAAGCAGGCTCCACTGGTAGTGTGGAGCCCGATGCAGGGCTTGAACCCATGAACCGTGAGATCATGACCTGAGCCGAAACCAAGAGCCAGACACTTAACTGACTGAGCCTCCCAGGCACCCCTCAATAGAAGTTTTTTAAAGGCTTAAAATTACATATATATTTGAGACATAGACAAGATAGTATATGAATTTTAAACTCCTTGGAGGGGCGCCTGGGTGGCGCAGTCGGTTAAGCGTCCGACTTCAACCAGGTCACGATCTCGCGGTCCGTGAGTTCGAGCCCCGCGTCAGGCTCTGGGCTGATGGCTCAGAGCCTGGAGCCTGTTTCCGATTCTGCGTCTCCCTCTCTCTCTGCCCCTCCCCCGTTCATGCTCTGTCTCTCTCTGTCCCAAAAATAAATAAACGTTGAAAAAAAAAAATAAAAATAAACTCCTTGGAGGCTAGAACAATTATTTATCTTTTTATCCTCTCCAGTGTCATGCAAATACTTGTTATTTATAAGCTTTTTCCTTTATAGGAATGTTTTTCTTGAAGGATGATAGCTTTTAATACATTAAGATACCAGAATTATTTCTTTGCATAATCAAATAAGGAAGAATTATTTCTGTCTAGTCTGAAAAGTTAAGGAAAAATGTATAAAATGGAAAAATTTTTGTGGATCATACTGTTTTTATTGAGTAATTTTAGAATTTAATAGTAGATCTTCTGGAACTTTTTCAGTTTATTAATATTTTCCTATACATTCCACTCTTGTCCCATTTCCCAGCCTGTATTTGAAATGGCTTTTATAGAGGAACTGCCATTCTAATGTATTCTGCAAAGGGAGCTTTGCTGGTGAACATAAGCCTAATCCTATACTATTTATCTGTAATGATTAATTAATTCACTAAGAAGCATTGAGTTCCTCTGTGTGTCAGATAATGTTCAGCAGTAGGAATGTAACCGTGGACAGAGTCCCTGTCTTCATGTAGGTTAACTGCCGGTAGCGATGTACAGAAGTAATCTTCCCTTTTCCTTGCATAGAAATTTTCCTTCTTTATGTTTCTGCTCCTGATGCTATACGAAGGTGAAATAATTGACTCTGCTAATTCAAGGTAATCTTGAAAGTTTGATGAAGTGAACTGTTAACTTTGTTTTTTAATTTTTACAGATGGTTCCAATCCCTACACATTGAAGCTTTGCTTTTCTACATCATCCCATTTATAAGAAGAGAAGAGCATGTTAGAATTTATGTTCACCTTTATTACAGTTTTAAAGCTACACTTCATTAAAAAAAATCTAAGATTGTTGATCTAATGTTGCCTTGCTTCCTTTGATTTAAGATCCTGTTCTGTAATAAACAAATATTTTGCCTTGAGTAAATTTGTTGTAAAGTTAAATATTGAATTGTTTTCATTTTAAAATAGAATATCATAATGTAGACTATCTACAGCTTCCTTGTAGATTACTCAAATATATGATTTCTAATCTTATTATTTTTCTTCCACAGTGAAAATATATTTGCATTCTTAATGCTAACTATCTGCAAGTATTTTTCCATTGTGTATGAGATTAATGCAGGTGAAAGTATTGCATTTTAATATTATAGAATTCCTATTATATGTTTAGATGTTTACGTATGTTGCAGTTATTCATATTAAACATAACTTGTATTTATTAAGTATTTTAATCAAGTTTGAGAATAACATTGCACATAATGAATTTTAAGTACTAAAGATTTAGCTGATTTTATATTTCTGAAAGGCTAACAGACATGGGTACACTTGTACAGTATGCACTCAAACTTATTTAAATTGGTGTAATTTTTTTTTTTTTTTTAAGTCATTGTCCATTTGTATTGACATGCCTCTGTTTCTAGTTCCAGTTTGGAGATTTTATAAAGTTACAACAATGAGTTAATGTGTTCATCTTCATTTGTTGCATGTGACTTGATCTTGAAAACACATCTGGTGTTTGGCATTGAGATTTTAATGGAAGTTTTATGATTAACAGTTCCTCTTCTTGCTAACCTGAGATCCATGGATGGGCTTTAGGGAGTTCGTGAACCCCTTAATATTGGATGTAGAATTTTGGGTACTTGCATTTTTATTTTTTACTCTTGAATCCATCAGTAATATATGTATTTTTCTATATGGTGCAAGGTGTAAGGATCTAATTTTATTTTTATTCCAAACAGATAGCTATTTGTTTCAACACCATTTATTAAACATTCTTTCTCCCATTGGAACTGTTTTTTTTCCTTTTTTTGGAAAATAATATATCTCAAGGAGGTGTAAGGACTAAACATGGTATTAAGAGACTATAGCACACTTGTTATCAAATTCATAGCTTTTTTATAATAAAAATGTGATGTAGCCATTTTATATTTATCTTTAATAGAAGGGGAATATGTTTCATCTACCTAGAATAACTGAAGTCTATAGTTAGCAGTAGCAGTTTTGTGATCTTGAGACTTTTAAACAAATTTCCAAGTAGAAGTTCTATTTAGATCTTTTGTAAAAGTATTATTTTGAATTTTAACATAAAAACAGTCTGCCTTAATCCATTGAGAAATGAGGCAGGAGTTTAAAAAATTTTAGAGCTGTTGAATAGGAAGTTAAGATGGAAAGTAAACACACGTTAACATTTATTTTCCCTTGAATTTTAACAGCTGTGAACCAGTGTCCCTTTAGCTCTCTAAAGATCTAGAAAAATTTAAATTCAATCTAGAGGCATTACATGGAACCCAGTAAGTTATGCCAAGGGCACCTTGTGTATGAACTGTAAGTGTATGATACTGGGCTCTGTGTGTTCCTCATTCATTCGTTGCCAATTTTATGTTTACCTAACTCTACGATAACCAAATCTTTTTTCCCCCCTCCCCTATACTTTTTACATTTGTTGCAAAATGAAATTATCTTTATTTTAAAAGGTAATTTCTGAGTTTATGTAATAGTTGTCTCCCTCCCTTTCCCTTTTCTGAAAACTAATAGTGATGTCAGCATTCTAGATTATTTTGTGCCTAAGATTTTAGGAAACACACCCATGGATGGTGACAAGTCTTAATTAATTTAGATTTGGCTTAAATGGTATTGACTTTTAGATATGAACTCTGTCTTAATGCTCTTTCCCCAACAGAATGATGAGTAAATTCCTAAGGTGTAAAGTATTGTTAAGTTATACCTTGCTGATCTATACACTGGTATGTCAGCCCTATACTATTGTTATCAGTAATGTCTTTGACAGTTTACTTGGGTGTCACTACTGTTAATACCTGATACTATCTGATCCTGGAATGGAATTGGCTTTGGCAACATTCTGTATTTCCTTAGCCTTAACAACGTTAGATAAACATTCTTTGTGCTATCTTTCTGCTTTTAGGAGAACATGAAAGAGTAGATGCTATAGCTATAAAGAAATAATAGCTTTGAGTTTATTTTTTAAGTATTGGAATCCTATCCCATATCTAAATCCCATTAAATATTAGGAAATATATCTGTATAACTGAGTTAAGGAATATAAGCTGCCTTTTAAAATCCTCACTTTCCTGCTGAGGGTATTACCTCAAATAAAATTTATGGTTGCAGCTGACATGAGACTTACGAACATCCTAGTGATTTGGTTATCCAGACTATATTTTCTAGGACTCTAGTTGAGAGAAGAAAATAAAAACTACCAAATGGGGTTAGTTACATTTCATCTTTTCTTTTCTTTTTTTATTGCAAGGATAGGTTGCTAGGTAACTGCTTTTTAGTAGTTACCATTGATACTCCATTCTTTCTAGAATAAAGAAATTTTGACCATAGAGCATTCTTCCATAATTAGGAAGCAAAAGCACAAGGAACTTTGCTTCACTTAAAAAGTTCTTCAGGTGGGGCACCTGGGTGGCTCAGTCGGTTAAGCGTCTGACTTTGGCTCAGGTCATGATCTCAAGGTTCGTGAGTTCAAGCCCTGTTTTGGGCTCTGCCCTGACAGTGAGGAGCCTGCTTGGGATTCTCTTTCCCTCTCTCTCAGCCCCTTATCTGTGCATGCATGCCTGCTCTCTATATCTCTCAAAAATAGGTAAACATTTAAAAAAAAGAATTTTGTAAATACAAACTCTTTTTGTATACAGTACAATGAATTTCATAGGAATGCAACTACCTTGTAAATCAAGGAAAGATGATTGCAGTATTTCCGAGAGTTCTTTGCTATTTTGGAAAATTAGGTCATTGAAAGATTGAGTTGACATTACATTGATATTATAACACATCAGGGTCAGTTTTCATTTGCAGCAGTCATACTCATCTCTTTGTCTTCTACTGTAACCATTCCTGAACATTTATGCTTCACAGTATGCAGGTCAGGTTTTATATAACTAAGGTTTTATGTTGTTTTCTTTCAAATATTGTGTGTGCGTGTGCATGCATGTGTGTGTAGGTAGGTGGGAGGGTAGGTAGGTATAATCAAGGAAGTTTATTTGAGCATAATGTTAAAGATGTCAGATTGTCTGGATTGGGAACCATTGCTTTAACCTAATCTGGTTCTGGGTTGAACTGGTAAACCTAGGTTGATCCAAAGACAGCGAAGCCTAGGATTTGTTGAAGAACGGGTCCCAAAGTCGTGTGGTCTGCATTTATGAGGTAGGCCTGGGACTGTATTGCCATTTTGCTATCTTGAGAGATACCAGCAGGTGGGGAAAAAAAGAAACAGAAGAGGATAGAACTAATTTAGACAGCTGTGGAAACCACTGTGAGCATAGGCTACTTTGCTCATGCTCCGTAGACTCCTGTCTTCAGAGTTCCCTTCTCAGTTTGAAGTCCTAGCTAGACATTTTTAAGAATGTCTAAGTGCCTAAATCTCACCTTAAGCCATTGTAGTGTACAAACAACACAAATGAAAGAGTACAGAGAATTGTTTGACAGGTAGCCCTGTTTTTAAACTGAGCTATTTTTATCTTTTTGCCAGTCTGGGCTTATGACTCCCATTGTATTTTCCCACTTTGAATTTTTTTGTCCTAAGTAGTACCATAAAGTTTAAACATAAGTCAAATACCTCTGGACACTTTTCTATACTGAAGCTATTCTCTGTAGGTTTGTTAGGGAGTTGCTTTTAATATATACTCAACCTAAAAATTCTCTCCGTTGTGTACTTCACTCCTTTTATGTAAATCTTACAGAACTTAATTGAATTAAGTAGAAGCACTGAATTAGTGCCAATTTCTGATTTGAAAACATACACAGCTCCCTAATATGACACAGTAATCAGACCAAAGCTACTGAACAACCTTGAAATATTTGCTTTGAGTTGATTTGATAATCTGGTTATCATTTGTTTTTTTTCTCCTGAGAAACACCAAGAGAAATCAAGAGCAATATTAATTCTTTCTGGGGAATAGTTATGGATTATTGAAAGTCTGGAAAGTAAACTAGTAAATGGCCTCAAATATTGTGATTATTACCATAATTTAAGTATTAGCTAATTAGGTAACTGAATACCAGTGGGATAGTTGGGGGACTTGAAACCTGATTATAATTTAGGATTGTGAAACTTAGGTTGTTAAGATGGTTATTGAAGTGGTTTTGTTTATTTGAAATACCTTTTTTTTAAAGACAGTAGGGTGAGAAAAACGTAGATAACACCTGTGTTGCATAGTAATACTTGGCATGATTTGCAACAGTTAGAAAAGAGGATTTCGCAGGTGGCAGGGGCGGGGAGGGGTCGGATGGTTGGAGGGCTGAGGAAGAGGAACGATTCCATGAGTAGAAACTAGAATCCTACTGATAGCCAGTCCATCTGCAGATTTTGCCTTAGTTTCGACAAAAACCATTCCAGAAATGTCGCTTGCAACCATTTGGCTTCTTGGACATTTAACTCATTTATTTTTTTTTAATATCTGTTAAGCGCATGGAATGTACCAGACATTAGAAGTTCAAACAGACAGTTAGCTTTTAACAGTCAGTAGGTTAATTTGAGCTTACAAAGGAACCAATAGAAGAATGGCAAAGGTATCTTCCCAGATAGGAAACACTATTCCCTAAGTAGGAGGAACTAAAAATCAATTAGTGAATCTCTGATCTTTGAGTAATATATTTAAATCTGTTCTTTTGTGAATTCTATAAAATGGAAAAATGAGGTCAAGGAGTGATTAGCACTGCGTGGGTGTGTGGAGGGCAGCGGTATGATAATTATGTTTCACAAACTAATGATGAGAAGCCCAGATACTGTGATCTGTTAAAGTTTAACAAAACCTTGTAGGGATGCTATGACCTGAAGTTCAATTTGAAGTAAAACCCAGATGTTAATCCTTAAGATTCTTATATGAACAAAAAAGCCCTTTTGTTTCATTAAGTTAATTGATCTTTCTCAGTGACTGGAAGTGTTAGCTGTATTTGCCCAAAGTATTAATTGCTGTGGTAAAATGACAGAAAGTAGAATAGGTGGTTGCCGGGGACTGGGGGAGGGGTGAGGGGTGACTGGGGAGTGACAGCTAACGGGTACAGGATTTTGGTGGGGGTGGTGTGTGATGATATTCCTCTGGAACTAGATGGTGGTGGTGGTTAGCCAAATTGTGACGTACTAAATGCCATGGAATTGTACACGTTAAAATGGGAATAAAAAAAAGGTCTGGCCCAGCGACCCTTCAGTTTAGAGAAGGGTCAATACAGTGAGTGCGTCAGGACTTTCATGTAGCTGGCTAGATAGGTTGAGGAAGGAATGTGGGGCATGGGGGAAAGTGGGTTACTTTTACCAACACCAGCAGAACATGTGATTCTAGATCTGGTTTATGGTTGTATTGCTCTGATGGCTGGTCACTTCTCGTCTGTCATCCTGGACTATGGGGCAGGGGAGTTGGAGCCAGGAAAGAGCCCACTGGAGTTTTGTGAACAGTGAGCAGTTAGGAAAGAGGGTTTGGGAAAGGGAGGGATGATTCTG